CTTTTTTTTTTTTTTTTTTTAAGTGGCCCATGGGTTCTCATTTTTTAAGTAGCAAAGATAATGCAAAACAGGCATAAAAAACCTACTTAGTACTCAGTGCTACTCAGTACTGTAGATGTAAAACATCAGTTTGTCAGTTAATCCAGAACAAACTAAACAGGAGGGAACACTCTTAACAGTGGTATGAGGAGAATCCTTGGCAGAATGACTAACTACACAATTTCCAATACCAGAAAGTTAACATTTAAATTAACAGAATGCTCCAGTTAGCAGCAAAACTGAGGTACCTGAGGATGTACTATTCCAACAGTGTAGTCTCAGTATCTCATTTTTGCTCCACTTAATGAATTTTCAAACAGATGACTGTTCATTCAGATGGTTATTTCTGTTTTAAGTTCTCCAGTGCTTACTAATACGAGTTTTAAGACAGCAGTGCCACTACACAGAGAACAACCCCTCACCTCCTTCTCTGGCTTGTGGAAGTGCTTGACAATACCATTGACAGCTTCACCAATAGCTTCTTGTATCTGACCAGTATTTAACTCTGCAAAATACAAAAATATATCCAGTCACTCTGTAACAGCTTTAGAAATTGTACCTGTGCATGAGAGATACGGCATACCACCAAAAAAAAAAAAAAAAAAAAAAAAGGAACACTAAAAAGTATAACCTATGCTGTTAGTGAAAATCTGCTGAACTGTGGGTAACAGAAATCCAATTCTACTTTTATTTACTGTGGAGGAGGTAGAAATGGGGATGGTTTTGTTTTTATATAAAAATTAACACCGTGGTGTTTCAACACATCAGGTGGAAAGGGTTTTTACATATTATGTGAATTTTCAGACCAGGGCCCAAAGCTGAGAAAAGGAGATGTGCTTTGATTAGGACGACCAAATCAGGGCATCCTGGCAATACTTCCTGTGATAGTTTCACTGTAAACCCAAGTGTGCTTGGGAGAAAAGTAACCACCTGATTTATCAGCAATAAGACAAATCCAGTAGAGTGATCTCAATGGAAAACTGAAGTCCATGAACAGAAACCACTAGCAAGCTTTTCCATCCATGAAGGATAGATAGAGACAGGATAGCAAATTTATACCTTCCTCCATAGCATTCATTCCATAGATGGAGGAATAAGAATACAGAAAACACCCTTAGGGCAGGCTAAGCACTGGATCAGTCCAGAGACATCTTCCTTCCATCCCTGAAGACTTTCAAAACTTGAGTAGATAGAACTGGTCACTCAGGATTCTAACTCAGAAGTTAGTCGGACTTTGAGCAGGGGGTTGGGCTAAGTTCTCTCCAAGCTACAGTTCTAAAATACAAGAAAAACTAAATTTCTGTTTGCAAGCTGCTCTCCTGAGGTGATGATGCAGAACAGTACAAAACGGGACACCCCCCACCACTCACTTGGCTTATTGTTTGGCGATATAGTGACAAATCTTCTGATCATGCTTGGTGACTGCTGCAAAGGAGGGGTTCGGCACTGCCGCTCATCAGCCTCAGTGTGGGAAGTCAGCAACTCTCCCACCAGGATCCTCTCTAAGCTGCCATCATCCATTCCCTTTCCAAGCCACCTTCCACAGGGAAACCTACAAACACAAAGGAGATCTTTGGATCAAGTCCAGATTCGATTCCATGCCAAAGACGTTCAACTGCAGTTGCGTAAAACCCAAATTCTGCTAGTTTATGTATTAGAAATGCTTCACTCATCTGGCAACAAATAAACAAAGTCTTGGTTTTGGCTATCGCCAGCAGAGGGAGCAAAAGTAAAACTGCTTTTCAGTTCCAAGTTCGTGCTTAATGTTGCACTAGATGATCCAACAAAGCAAAGAGTGGCAGATTTTGTCTTGTGTCCTATAATGTAGCACATGATTTGAGGGCTGCAGAGGAAAAACACACAGAAGGGGAAGACTCACTACACACTGCAGATGGGTGGTGAAATACAGCTATGCTTTCACTGAGTATGTGACATAGCAGGCCAGCCACACACAAAAAAAAAACAAACCCAAACATATACTTAAATGCCAAAACACCGATACTCTATTGAAATTGGGATATTAAATCAGACACTAGAAAGCACACATGCTCACTTGCTCATTATCACTTTCTAGGAACCGATGTTGATGTGAGCCTAATCAGAAAACTGAACAGCATCCAAAAAGAGAACCCTGCCTCTTCGTTTAATTACAAACTGGCATAGAGAACTGAGTGGACTTATCTGCCAATTTGTCATCAACATAAGCCTGACAGTTTCTCTAAACAAAGGACAGGGCATCAAACTATGCTGTACCTAACACTATTTTTACTGTAAATCTTGTTCCTTTACTTCTACTATGCAAACACAGGTTTCTAACACGCATAAGCCCTCATGTTCCAGCTTGTGCCCAAAGGTCTCTCTATAACACCTAGAGCACTCAGCCTTAATATAAAATACCACCTATATTTGGTAAGCAGCAAGCTCTAACTTACTATTTCTTCCTAGGGCTCAAGGCAAATTATTTTTAAGATGCGTAAGAGTCAACTCATCTTCTCCACCAATATCTGAAGGTTAGACATGAGCATATGCAAACCGAAAACTTTGTTTAATTTTGTAAGAATCACGACTTGTTTAATGCCAGAAGCCAAATGACCTTTCTGTGCCTTCAGGCAGCAGCACCTGTAGACACAGAGTTCTAGGAGATAAGACCTTTCTAATCAAACAAGCCCTACTGTGCCCGCTCCCTGCAGAAATTCTACTTACCCAACATGAAATGTCAGGATGATACTTACTTGTAAGTATGCCCTGTTATTTCATTTCTGACCATAACATATTCCACTAGCCACTTGGCATACAGCCCCGAATTATCATGTCCTATTTGCACCGTGGTCAGTTTTCCCAGGTTCTGACACTGCAAATTAAACAAAAAGTTTGTCAGAGTAAACTGAAAGAAATCAGCATGCTCAGATAGGGAATCAGAAATACGGTTCTCTTTTTCTGACTGCATGATTGATTCTGGGTTTTTTAAGGGTCAGTTGCTTTATTTGGTTTTGTTTGTTTGCTTTGTTTTGTTTAGTACTATTTTGATCAGCAGAAAGAACATCAGTTGAACTAGATTTTTAAACTACATTTTACCCAATGCAAATACACACACAAAAATCAGAGCAGAACCGCCTCTTTGTTTCCAATAGACAACAGGACACCTCCCACCATTGCAGCACAAAGTTGTAATATAAAGACAGTCTTGTCCATCCTTGCGCTAAGGATTTGTCAGTCATTTTGCTTTGCATGTTATTAAATATAGATTGAATTTGCTACGTACAGGTCCGGAAGTATTTGCGACTAACTACATAGACTAAAGATACAAAATGTATGGCAAGATGGTACACCCAGAGGAGAAATTTAAAACTGAACAAACAGAACATCCAAAGCATTATTTCTATCAAGCAATACAAACCTCAAAAGTCATTTCTAATATATTCCTGGGAATCTGCAGGACTCCTGTCTCACCCAGTTCTCCCGAGATACAGATCCAAGGATTGGCTGTAAACATTGAGCCACCAAGTTTCTTGCTAGGAACAATCAATATATGGTATGGTATCACTGCAAACACAAGAAGAAATAACCCTTCAAAAAGGAAGCAGGATAATTACATAACCTCTTTAATAAGGAGAGGAGGAAAACAAGTCAAAATAATACTGCAGTACCAAGAAATGTTAAAACAACATCAGAGCTGCTATTTAATCATGCTAACATTTGCACACTAAGCACTGATTGACAATCGGGACGTGCGCACACAGCAGTCATTAAGAAGCAGAGCTGACAGTAAAACACTGTCAAATGAAACAAGAAATATGGATAGAATAATGCCTTCACGTGGGTATAATAGTTTTTTATTTACCAGTGACTGATTCGACATGATATCACCTGAGTTACAGCCTCTTCTCTGATGCAGGAGGCACGTGCTCCTGAGGAAATGCACGTGCTCTTCAATTGCCTAGCATCTCATGCACAGCCCCCTGCTAACCAAACTTTTATAACAACATCCCACCATCTGAATGGTCATCATGTTTCTTGTCGATCTGCCCTTTTTTTATAGCACATAAATGGATTACAGTTAGGGCTTTTCAGCTGAGGCATTTAATACATTTCTCCCTCAATGCCTCCTCAGCCGTCAGTGCCCTCAAGGAAGCATTTGGTGGTTGGATTTTCTTAAAAGCTTGATGCTGGTAGCATTTAAGAATGAATTAAAATGTTTCCCTTTTTATTTTCTGTGCTGATAGTCTTAAAGTAAGTGACAATTTAACTGCATTCAGCAAATCAGATTTTAGCATTATCCAGAACTTGCCCACAACAAGACCAAAAACTGTTTTGCTTAGACATCTGCTTGCTTTGTCTTTCATATGCACAAATATGGATCATAACATACCATCAGGAGTAGCTCCTACCACACAGCCAGAGGGGACCTTTCCAACACCCTCACACCCCATTTTGCGAGCCTTGCTAAAGTCTGTCCTTATTCTGCTTTAGTAGTGAGGTCCTGTGGCAGCAGGCACATAAACACACGAGAACTCTGTAACACACTCAAGTATCTGCAACAACAGGTTAACACTTTCTCTAGGGCATCTTTAAAAAAAAAAAAAAAAAGAAAAAAAAAAAAGTACTTCAATGTGTTGCAGGGTTCTGATGCAGCCCTCAATAGGCATTTCATTGTTATCCCAAACTCAGACAGGCATGCAGCAAAGTAGGCTGAGCATGAAAATGGGAAAGGTTTTTAGTTTTCTTTTTAACTCCTAGCATGTGTTAAGTTAATAATCTTACCTTGATAATGAACAACCCATACTGTTCTTGTTTAGTATTACGCAAACAAGCTCACCACAAAATTTTCTGATGAGAACTTTCCCCCAACTAAAAGGATTATAGCTGCGTATTTTCCCAAGTCAGAAACAAAGCCTTTAGTGACACAGAGAGACACCACTGCCCACCAGAGAGGATCACAGAAAGTGATACAGCACACACAGACGGATATCAGCAAGAATGCAAAACAATCACATTAAGGCATGTTGCTCAGAGCTGTTTAGAATGTTGGATAAGGACTGAACCAAACCTGGAAATCAGAGTTCCAGGGAATGTAAATACTTACAGATTGTTGTGAAAACATTGGTAAAGCAAAAGTAATCAACAGCATTGAATGACAGGAGATGATATAAGAATTGTTCTTTCTCATCATCACAGCGGAGGAACGCATAACGCTTGTAGAGTTTTCTGACAAAGCAAAACAAATAATCTGTCATAGTAACAAGATGCTTTCAGTGAAATGTTTTCTACCGTGCATATTTATTAGGTAAACTATGAAGAATGTGCAAGCGATTACAAATGACAAGTGATACTGGTAGAGCCAACAGTATTTAATGTGCCAAGATATGTCAACACTCTGCAAGTCTGAAGTCTCCCAAGTGCATCAATCCAACACTTCACAGTATTTTCCACCCCTTGAAAGCAAGGCTTGGTGTGGTCTAAGGGTCTTCTCCCACCCTAAACCACCCCAAAAGATGGAAAAAGGAATTTTGTGTTTTCTTGGAAAAAATTCTGACTTCTTTTGAGCATGTAAAATGACAGAAATAAAGAGTCCTTGTGAGTTACTTCCAAGCAGATGGTGCAATGGGAGAGTCCTCCAGCACACAGGACAGTTAGAAGACTCTTTTCAAAGGACACCGGGGCAAACACTGAGGCTATCTGCTTGTACTGGGTTACAGGTGGTAGGCCAGCACCTACAACAACCCGCACATTAAGCTAGGGAATAGCTTCAGTGTTGATAGTACACAGCTCCTGACATAACCAAAATCATTAGGCAAAGGTGGCCTGAAGTCCTACTGTTCCCTTTCACTGGCTTGCAAACTGTTTGTTAGGACTGAACTCTGCACAGAACTGCAACTTCTTTTAAGTGGAAATACCAAAAGATGTAGCTCAGTAGCCTTCTCCCACCAGGGGAGATACTAATGCCTATGCAGAAGAATGCACCGTAAATAGAAACAACCTTATATACTTATTGAAATTACTCAAACACATCAGAGAATTTAACACTGCAAGACTTGCAACTAAGAAACCTTGAAAAGAATTTATAACCTCAACCTTTTCAAGTGCAAATTTTCACTGGAAAATACTCTTAACGTTACTCACTTGCATGTAGCAATCACCACTATTTTTGTTAATTTTACAACCAGTAAATAATACCAGTGTTGGTGAATAATCATAAGAGTATGCCAAGATGTATCAAAATCCAACTGATGCTAGAGGAATATTCAAAACATCATGAATTAGGTGTTAGAAATGCTGATACAGCCACGGATAGGTTGTTCCTGCCAGGAGGGCATCCTGACAACTCCCCTCCATTTCAGATATCAATTACAAAAAAAAGACAGCAAGTGACTCACAAGCCAGAAATTTACAAAACAAATCAATGATGATTAACACTCACATATTCTCACTTACATAACAAACATAACACTAGAGATTGACAGGAAATGTTCAGTGGAGATAAAGATACTGAGCCTTAAATCAACATAACCTGCCTGTAGCCACAAGAGCAGCAAACCCACAAAGGTCTCACGGGTGACCGTGTCCGTGTTTTGTTTGAACAATCTGAACCACCTGTTTAGACAGCCTGTGCACACGGGTATGTGCTGCCCTGCCTTTTCAAAGTGTAAGAGCTCTCAGTTACTTGTGCACATAAAGGTCTCAGGGGAGTGAAGCTATGCGACCTCCTTCTGCTCCCCAACTCCAGTCCCTTCACAGACTAGAAACAACCAAATGTGTCACTTTTCTTAAATGCCAAGTGAAGAGAATGGGTTAAGATGTCTAACACTTGCTTCAAAAAAAGACCACCACACAACCATGTAACTAAAATGGCAGAAGCTGCACAATTAGTGTTAGTACCTCACCGAATTTGGCACTGCTTCCCCTAAAAACAAACGCAGCACACTTTAAGCCCATGCTGCCCAGAACACCTTTCTTTAAGTAGGATATCTAAATATGTGGCACAAAGCACACAGGATTACAAAGAATTTATGTCATTCCTATGCAAGCTGCTCCTTTGCTTGTCACTTTCCTCTTAAGCGTATTTTTGCTGCTGTCTCGCTCAGTTCTACAAAATCAGAATCTGAGAGATGAACAGCGCATTGGCCGTTTTTTTAGAAAGTTGTGGATTTTCTTCTTTTTCTTCTTGTGAGAGGAAAGTCCTCTCACAGCAGTAGATCTGCATGGGACAAGCACTGCTAAATTTAACCTGATCTGGACTGTTGACTTCACCGGAGAGGCCCAACTTTAATTTCAAGATACAGGTACATTTATTAGTTGTCCTCACTCTGTCCTTCAGCTCTTCCTTGCTCACTGTTGGAAGGCCACAGCTCCATCAGAAAGCCCAGCGTAACTCAATACAAGGCAAATCTCAAATAATTAGCAGTTTGGGTTTGAGGGGGTTGGGGGAGGGAAGACATTTCTTGGAAGGTGGTGTGAGTGGGAGGAGAGGAAAGGAAAAGTAGACAGCACAGGTTAAGCTGTCTCCAGCAAGAAGTCTTCAATTAAATTACTAGGGCCTATACAAGAGAACCTTTAATTTCCACACCGTAAACAGTATATCCAACCTTACCAGCAATACATTTTTTGTGCACAGGTTATACTAAATAAACCTCAAACTGTTATTCCTAAAACAGCTAGTATTAAACATAGCCTGTACTCTGATTTGTGCAACTGTTTACAAAAGAATTATTTATGTTCATAAAGATGATATAATGTACAGGTGCTCTGGACATCACCAGGTAAACAGGTCCTTGTGCTGAGCATGCATTCTTACAAGAAGCACTAGCACGGAGTACTTTTGACAGTTTAAGCCAGTAGTATTTGGAACTCTCTCCAGGTTCAAGTCTTCAGTTTTCACTCACACCCCCCGTACTTCACACACTTCTCTCATATTCTTCCTATTGTGCAATTACTCTTTAAATAGTGTTTTGGGTCACAATATTTTTATGCCTTCATATAGAACAAATTGAAAGGCATGTATTTAGAAATGTTTAGGAGAACCAATAAAAACAAAAAATGGACCATAATAGCAGATATTTAACTATTATGAAAGCAATTCACCTTATGTTCTTAAGCAGGCTACAAATGCAACTCCTTTACTGTGCCAAAGAGGACAAACATAGCTGAGACGCTGTCTGTTGGATCTAAAGAAGTGGACAATCATGCTCTGAAAGATTTGGATGGAAGATCTCAAAAGATTACCGGATCTCATCTTGAGCTTATTGCCCCAAAACGAGATGCAAGAACTGATCATCAGAGCCTTCCTAGTCACCTCCAAGGTACTGCATGTACACCATTCATCTGCTCTCTTAAACCACACCAGAAGTGTATTTTATCTACATCACTTTACGCGGCACTGAAAGGAGTTACAAGAATATCTCAGGCTGGGAGACAGAAGCAAGGAGCTAAAGGAACAGTCATTTTGAGTCACACTAACAAGAACCATGGAAGCACATCTGGACATGTTTTTACACTCTTCGTACCGTAACAGAACTGCATACAAGGATCTAAGCTGCACTTTTGTCATGCACTATGAAAACACACAAACAATCCAAGGAAAACAAAATATCCCACAGTTAAAGAAAGGGGGCTAAAGAACCTCAGCATTGAATCACAATTCCGAAATAGCTCGTACCCAGGTACAGAGACACACTTGGAAGGCTAATTTGTCCTATTCCTTTTGCACACTGCTAAGCAGATGAAACAATAGGCACTTCTGGATTTTTCAAGTCAAAACAAATCGACTTAATTTTTTAAAAGCTTTGCCCAAGATAAACCATCTTACTTTGTGAGTTCATGATCTGAAAGCAGCTGTTTTAGATGCCTAGAGAGCAACTTCTTTTCCATAGACAGACGAACCCAGGCTCTGGCCTTCCCAACATCTGTTTTGATCTCACTAATGTTCTGGATATGCCTGAAAAGAAAAAAAAAAAAAAAAAAAAAAAAGAAAGACACTGTCCAGTATTTTCAAAGTGCAACCGTTCCTTTTGAACCAACCTAGGCTGACAAAGGAACTTGGCCAAGAAGGCAAAATATCAGGTTAACTACTGGAAAAAGAGGCATGATCACCTTAATATTCAGCAGCATCTTAATTCCTTTCTTATCTAGCTGAAAAAGAATAAGAGCCTGAAAAGGAAATATCTGCAATGCAGTGCCCTATTTACAAAATTCTAAACCAAGTCCATTGGCTCACATGAGAGGCATTAAGAATCATTCTGGACCTTATCACTGCAACATTTATGGCTGAGTGCTTTGGAAAATTAAACACTGTCCTTGCATGCTCAGTAGCAGCTTTTGTTGCATACAAGACACAAACGCTATATTTTGGAAAGACAAGCCTGTCCCTTGAAAATCCTCAATTTACTCCACTCCACTGAAAAAAAATTCGATGTTGGTAAGGAGAAGTAGGAAAAAAAAATCCTTTCAAAATTGATTTACAGGTTTTGCATATTGTTTTTTGATGTACTGAAAAGAGGGCACTGAGTAGAAGTTACAGTTCTATTCACACTACAGTACTTTATGTTAGACAAACCCATTCCTTAGATCAAACAAGTTCTTTAAACTGCTTTCTTCACTGAGAAGCAAGAATGAGCTCAGCGCTGCACAACCAACTTGGCAATGGGAAAATACATAAGCTACACCCAAATCTCTGTGTAAATAAAACACCATAGAATACTGACAAAAAGATGAAAACTGTGTCAGGGTATTTCTATAAGCTAGTATAGAGCTTATATACATATATAAGCTAGTCGATATGACAATATAAAATCTCCTCAGTATGAAATATGTTTTTGTAAAGGTCAGTAAAAAGGTTGCACTATATACTTTAAAACAGTTCAGCAG